TAACCATGTCCCATGGCATAACTCTCAGCAAGAAACAGTGTCCACAGACACCTGATGAGCGAGAGAGAATGAGTCAGATTCCATATGCTTCGCTTATTGGATTGATCATGTATGCCATGATATGTACTAGGCCGGATGTATTTTATGCCTTAAGTGCTACGAGCCGATAACTGTCAGACCCAGGAGAGGCGCATTGGACTGCGGCCAAGAATATCCTAAAGTACCTGAAAAGGAACAAGGATAAATTCCTGGTCTATGGTGGCTATAATGAGTTGGTTGTTGAAGGTTATACTGACGCGAGCTTCCAGACTGATAGAGACGACTCCAAGTCGCAGTCGAGGTACATATTTTTCCTTAATGGAGGAGCGTTTAGTTGGAAGAGTGCTAAGCAGAGCACCACTGCAGATTCTACAACTGAAGCCAGATACTTGGCAGCTTCGGAAACAGACAAGGAGGCAGTTTGGATTCGTAAGTTCATTGGTGAACTTGGTGTTTTACCCTCATTCAAGGGTCCAATAGACCTCTATTGTGATAACAATGGAGCTATTGCTCAGGCCAGGGAGCCAAGGGAACATCAGAAGGTCAAACATGTCAAGCGGCGATTTCACATGATAAGGAAATGGAAATCCGAAGGTGAAATCAGAATTTGTAAGATTGGAACGAACGAGAATGTAGCCGATCCTTTGATTAAACCTTTGTCTCAAGTGAATCACAACAAGCACGTTGAGGCAATGGGAATCAAGCACATTGGAGATTGGTTTTGATTTCCCTGTATAAATGTTTTAATTAAACTCGATGTCTTAATGTAAAACACTATGTTGAACCATTCTGTTTTGGAGCAATTAAATTTTCTGCAAATTTGCGATTACTCCATATCTATTTAATTGTGGTTTAGAATTAAATAATGAGTCCATTCGATTTTGAGAATATTCAAAACAGGGTATCAAGACCCTGTCTTGGCTACAGAAATACCTGTTAAGTGAACATTGAATATTTTAGTCGAGAATTATCCCTAATTGAGGTCATTTAAACGATGGATGATTAATGACCACTTAAGATTAGTGTGTAGTATGATTTATAGCACCGTTTCTTGTGCTACGAGGACATGATAGTCATAAATTATTTGCATAGGTACTAGTTTGGAACTATACCGGATAGACCTATGAGAATACTTTAAGAGATATCAAATTGTCATAAGTATATTTCTCATTATTGCTATCAGAACCTTTTTCCTCGACCATGAGTATTGCAAGTTCTCTTGTTTGAGTACTAATCGTTTTGATGTTGTCAAATGTCTACCGTAAATGGGGATTATAATGGCAGCACTCAGTCGAATAGGTCCTCTTAGTAAGGGAAGCTTACAGTAAGATCTGCCCAATGAATAATGGTGTCTTTGTTGTAAGGTTCAAAGATTGTGATGGTCGTGAAAGAGCCTTGAATGCTGGTCCTGTGTTTTTTGATAAGAAACATGTCATTGCCAAAAGGTGGGTGTCAGGACTGAATCTTAAGGATGAGAAGGTTGAGGCCGTTCCAGTCTGGGTCAGACTTCCTTGACTTGATCTCAGATTTTGGGGTCAATCTACTTTGATGAAGATAGGTGGTCTGGTGGGGAAGCCTCTTAAGCTTGGCAGGGCTACTGCTATGAAGGAAATTATTGCATATGCTAGAATGCTTATAGAGGTGAAGGTTGGTAGTGAGGTTCCTGAGAATATTGAGTTCATGGATGAGAATGAATGCTGGGTTAGTCAGGCTGTGGTTTATGAATGGAAGCCAATTATTTGTCCTACATGTGGTGGTATGGGACATGGGGCTGATCTATGTCCTAATTTGAGGGTTAAGAGGAATATGCAACAGCTCAGCCTAAGAAGACTCAGAAGGTTCAGAAGATATGGAGGCCTATCAGGAAAGATTTGAAGGATCAGAACAAGAAGGTTGACACACATAATATGACACAGAGGAATGAAGGTCGATTCTCAGTTTTAAACAACCTGAGTGACAAAGAGGATGGTGAATTTGACATATCTAATTTGGATCCAGGAGACCAGGCTATGAATCTTGAGGAGGGCTGGAAAACTGTTGGAAGTGGAAGGGTTCTATTTGGCAGTATGGGGGGGGGGGAGTTCATATTAACTCCCCTCATGAATAGCTTGGGTTTTTGGAATGTAAGAGGCTTAAATAAAACTGATAGAGTATGTGATTTTTTATGGTTCTTGAAGCATCATAATATCAGTTTGTTTGGGCTTCTTGAAACTAAGGTGAAGGCTGTAAAGTTTGGTTATGTTTTTGCTGGTTTTGGGGGAGATTGGGCCGCTAGTGCAAACTACTCTAAGCACCCTGGTGGTAGGATTTGGGTTATTTGGAGACCAGAATTGCTATATGTTGATATAGTAGAGGTTGATGCTTAGTTAATTCATTTAAAAGTTCATCATAAGGGTTCAGGAGTTACTTTCTGGTTCATAGTGGTGTATGGTTTTAACATTCTAAGTATGAGGGAGCAATTATGGAATAGTATTATTAGTATTAGTGAACGGGTGACAAATCCATGGATTATAGGGGGCGACTTTAATAATGTGCTGAATATTGAAGACAGGGTTGGGTCTGTTGTGACTTTAGCTGAAGTTGAGAAGTTTAGGATGTGTGTTAGAAACATCAACTTGGTTGAACTTAAAACTGGGGGTATGTACTACACTTGGAATAATAAGCAAGAAGGATGTGACAGGGTGTGTTCTAAGATTGACATGATTTTTGGCAATAAGAGATGGTGCTCTATGTTTCAGCAGGTTCATGCTGAGTTTCTTCCAGAAGGCTTAATGGACCACTGTCCCTGTGTTGTGAACTTTATAGGGAATGTTTGTGGAGGTAAAAAACCTTTCAAATTTTTTAATCATTGGACTGATTGTGCAGATTTTGCTAGGGTTGTCAACGAGGCTTGGCAGGTTGAGATTCAGGGTACATCCATGTTCAAGATAGTTCAAAAATTGAAGAATATGAAAAGCAGACTTAAGGAGTTGAATTCTTATTTGACTTCTCATGTTGAAGATGAAGATGCCAGAGTTGCTGAGCTTCTTTCAAAGGCTCAATGTGAGTTGAATAATGACCCTAGCAATGAGATGCTGATAGTTAGAGAAGGGGAGGCTAGAAGGAGATATAATGAAGCACATACAACAAAACTCAAGTATCTTAGACAGAAGGTTAAAGCTCACTAGGTGAGAGAAGGAGATATGAACACAACTTTCTTCCATGCTTGTCTCAGGAAGAGAAGATTACAGAATAGCATTTTTAGCATTCAGAGATTGGATGGGACAGTTACTAATGACCCTAAGGAGATTGCTGATTTTTTCATTAACTTTTATGAGAGCATGTTGGGTACTCACTCTGATGCTGACAGGAAACTGCATCTCAGTGTTATTTCTAAGGGGGCAGTTTTAAATGCTGATCAAGGTGCTAGTCTGTGTAGGGATTTTAGTGGTGAGCATGTTAAACTTGCTTTGTGGAGTATTGATGAGAATAGAGCACCAGGGCCAGATGGCTTCCCAAGTGGTTTTTTCAAGGCTACCTGGAATATTATTGGGAATGATGTGTGTACTGCTGTGCTTGATTTCTTCAATCATGGTAGGTTGTTGAAGCAGATTAATAACACCCTTATCACTCTTGTGCCGAAAGTAGATAATGCTACTCAGGTTGGTCAGTTTAGGCCTATTGCATGTTGCAATGTCATATATAAAATCATTGCTAAAATGATTTGTACAAGGCTGAAGGAGGTCTTACCTGGTTTAATTGATGAGGTTCAAGGGGCTTTTGTAGCTGGGAGATCTATTCTTGATAATATCTTAGTGTGTCAAGATATGCTAAAGGATTACAATAATAAAAGAAAGGCTCCAAGGTGTCCAATAAAGGTTGACCTTAGGAAGGCCTATGATTCTGTTCATTGGTCTTTTATCAAGGATATGCTTCTTGCCTTGGGATTCCCTGTTCAGTTTGTTTGCTGGATCATGCAATGTGTCTGTTCCCCTTCTTTTTCTATGATGCTTAATCGGGGCCTCCATGGTTTCTTCAAGGGTAAAAGAGGGATAAGACAGGGAGATCCTTTGTCTCCTCTGTTGTTTTTGGTGGTCATGGAATACTTTGCCAGACTTATGAGAAAGATTGGTAAACTTCAAAAGTTCAAATACCATTCCAGATGCAAGAGTATAGGGCTCAATCACCTTATTTTTGCAAATGATTTGATGCTGTTCAGCTATGGGGACAGAGATTCCATTGAGTTACTGACAAGGGGGCTTAGAACTTTTGAAAAGTGCTCTAGATTGAAAGCCAATGCTGAGAAAACTGCTCTCTATTTTGGTAATGTACCTGACACAGTGAGATCACAGATTGTTCACTGTTCTAACTTCACAATAGGTGAGATGCCTTTCAAATACTTGGGTCTGCCTTTGAATGCTAGATATTTGAGGATTGCTGACTTTGACAGTATAGTGGATAAGATGCTTACTAAGATTTCACGTTGGTCCTGTAGGAACTTGTCTTATTCAGCTAGGGTGACTCTTATTAATTCTGTGTTAATGAGTATGCATACCTATTGGGCTCAGTGTGTTTTGCTACAAGCAGGGGTTGTGAATAGAATTACCCAACTTTGTAGGGCGTTTCTGTGGGGAGGGAATGCAGTCTTGTCTAAGACCCCTCCTATTGCCTGGGATTGGCTTTGTAAACCAAAACAGGTAGGTGGGCTAGGCATCAAGGACATTGGCTTATGGAACAAAGCTGCTCTTGGCAGATACATTTGGAAAATTGCTCAGAAGGAAGACAGCTTGTCGGTTAAATGGGTACATTCAGTTTACATCAAGGAGGATGACTGGTGGTCTTATGTCCCTAAAAAGTCTGCTGGTTGGGCTTGGAAAAAGCTTTGTGCTCTTAAGGAGGATTTGAAAGCAGGCTTTACTTAGAACAGATGGCAGGATCATGAGTATAAAATCTCTGATGTTTATAAATGGCTTCAAGGTGATATGCATCATGTTGATTGGACTGCTTGGGTCTGGAACTCTTTCAACTTTCCTAAGCATTCTTTTATTACATGGATAGCAGTTCAGGATAGGTTGAGAACTAGAAAGAAACTCATGTCCTTGGGCATATGTCAGGATGCCAGCTGTTTACTTTGTGGGGAGAGTGATGAGGATACTGATCATCTTTTCTTTAACTGCAGCTTCAGTAAGACCTGTATTAGACTTATGAGTCAATGGCTTGATATCCCAGTTTCTTCTCAAAATATTCAGGAAGCTTGGAAATGGTGGAGGAAGAGCATTAAAGATCAGATTAAGAGGAAAGTTGTTCTGGCAGTTCTTGCAGCAGTGGTTTATCATATTTGGTTAGCCCGAAATCATGCTTATTTGAAGAAGGCTGTTATTCACCCTAGGATTCTTTGCAATGCTACCCGAATTGAAATTGTAGACAGACTTAAGGGTCTTATTTATTTGTCTTGGATAAGGGAACATTGTAAATGGCTTGATCATCTTAATTATAGGATGATAGGCTGATTTGTCTTTTTGTTTGTTGCGGGTTTTTGCTTTTTAGGTGCCTAGATATTTCAGGCTCTAGTTAGGTGTTATGAGGGCTTGCCCTCTGCTTTGCTTTCTTTGGCCCCTTTGGTGTACCCTTTTCAGATGGTGTCATCATAGGAATGTCCAGTTTGTAACCTTGAGGGTTTGCCCTCTTTCTTTGGTATTAATAAATTCTCTTACTTACCAAAAAAAAAAAAAAAAGAATTGAATAAATGTCAAATAAATTCGAATAAATCTAATTGAATCATATGAACGTCAAATGCATTCAACAAAGCTAACTGAATAAAAGGAAAGTCAAACACATTCAAACAACGTTTTTTGAATCAAATAAGAGTTAAAAGCATTTTACAAAGCTAATTGATTCAAATGAAATTTAAACAAAGCTTTTTAAATCAAATGAAAGTCAAAAGAATTCAACAAAGCTAATTGAATAGAATGAGAGTCAAATGAATCTAAACAAAGCTTTTTGCATTAAATGAATGTGAAAAGCATTTAACAAAGTAATTGAATAAATATAAAGTCAAACACATTCAAATGAAACTTTTTTAATCAAATCAAAGGCAAAAGCATTAAACAAAGATAATTGAATTAAATGAAAGTCTAATGCAATCAACAAAGCTAATTGAATCAAATTAAAGTCAAAAGCATTCAACAAAGCTAATTAAATAAAATGAAAGTCAATTACATTCAACAAAGCTAATTTAATCAAATTAAAGTCCAAAGCATTCAACAAAGCTAATTGAATAGAATGACAGTCAAATGAATTAAAACCAAGCTAATTGAATCAAATGAAAGTTAATTGCATTCAACAAAGCTAATATAATAATAAAAAAAAAAGTCAAACGCATTCAAACAAAGCTTTTTGAATCAAATTAAAGTCAAAAGCATCTAGCAAAGATAATTGAATCAAATTAAAGTTTAATACATTCAAACAAAGCTATTTGAATCAAATAAAAGTAAAAAGCATTCTTTTTTTGTTTTTTTTGGTAAATAAGAAATTTTATTACCAAAGAATGAAAAAAGTACAACTTAGAAATTTTTTTTGGAAAACTCCAAAAACTACACAAGCCTGAGGGCACACAAATACCGCTACCTCCCTACACTGTCACCAACCACCTTCTAGGAAGGGTATCAATAACAGCGAGAGGGAACACCTACCTAGCCTCAAGCGAGAATGCACCTTCTAGGAAGGGTACTTCAAGCAAGGACTAGGACAAAGGGAAACACAACAGCACAAACAAAACAACACAACCGAGCTAAAACACAGGCATTAACACAGCCTGTTCTGAACAAAAAAATAGAAACAGCAGCCTACACCAGCAGGAAAGAACAGCAGCCTACAGCACCAGGTCTGACACCAGGCCCACAAAAGCAGATCCTGCAGCAATAGGTCAAGCCCAACTAAAACAACACAGACCATGACAGAGAAAGAACACAGCCTGAACCAGCACCTCAACATCTCATAAATCAGGATCACAGCACCACAAGAACTCATCAAAACCAAAACAGAACCAGCAACGCATAGCACTGCAGCACTAGGAAAAAAAAGGCATAATAGCAGAGCAGAGACCCTCTACATGCCCTGACAGAGACAGAAACAGTCAGCAAAATAAGAGAAAACACAGACCAGAACCCCTGCTGCTCAGTAACACAGGAACACAGTCCTAGTACAGCATAAAGCATTAAAAGTCAGATACACAGAAACATAGACCAGCATAGAACACAGGCAAAAACAATTAGCAAGGCAGCCTGCTTTTAAGTATCTGTAACCATTTGCAGTGTCTCCTAGACCAAAAGTTATCAATCAACTGTTGTTATCTACTTATAACTTCCAGATAAATTGATTTGCACAGCTGTCTAGGAAGGATCACAGCCTTCTCCCAGAGCGCATGGTTCCTAGCAAACCAAACATAATAAACACAAGCAGCCAGAGTAGCTCCAAAAATCTTTCTTTGAACCAAATCATTCCCCTGTCTGTAACAGTGCTTCCAAGAGGCTATCAGATTAAAGTGTTTCTCAGAGAAACCTAGCCAAGTAGTGACTGTTTTCAGACAGTAAGGACAATAAAAAATCAAGTGCTTATGAGATTCAGAAGCAGCCCCACACAATAAACACCTAGTATCCAGATTACAGCCAAAAGAGGACAACCTATCTATGGTTTTGAGTCTTTCTTGCACTGCCAGCCAAGAAATGAAAGTGTGCTTAGGGCTATTGAACCTGTTCCAGACCCATTTATCCCAGATCACCTTAGTCTGGGCTCCCTGTAACCAGGTATAACATTCACTGATCTTATACTTTCTGCTAGTCCAATTACCAGCCTCAAACCCTTGCTGTAGATCAGTCTTCACAGAGCAAAGTCTTCTCCAAGCCCAGCCATCACTTCTGTTGGGGCTATAAGCCTACCAGTCATGATCCTTCAAATAAATGTTGTGAATCCATTTTACCCATAAAGAGTCCTCCTTCTTAGCTATTTTCCACACATACTTCCCTAAAGCTCCCTTATTCCATCTGTTACAGTCCCTAATCCCCAAGCCACCAAACCTTTTGGGTTTACAAACCCAATCCCAAGCAATAGGTGGGGCACCACCAAGCACAGCAGATCCATTCCACAGGAAAGCCCTGCAAAGTTGAGTAATCCTTTGGATAACTCCTTTAGGCATGAGGATACATTGAGCCCAGTAGGTATGCAAGCTGATAAGAACAGAATTTATAAGAGTGATCCTGGCATTATAGGATAAATTCCTACTAGACCAACAAGTAATTCTAGCAAGCATTTTATCAATAATACTGTCAAAGTCAGAGATCCTCATGTACTTAGCATTGAGGGGAATGCCAATATATCTGAAAGGGAAAGACCCAACAATAAAACCAGTGTTACCCAAAATTTCTTGCTTCATACTATCCTCCATACTACCAAAATACACAACTGTCTTTTCAGAATTAGCTATAAGCCCTGAAACTTTCTCAAAAGTTTTAAGAGCTCCGATGAGAAGGGAGAAAGACTGTTTATCACCATGGCCAAACAACATAAGATCATCAGCAAAGACTAGATGAGTCAAACCTAACTTCTTGCAGCCCTGATGGAATTTGAATTTCCTGAGCCCACCAACCTTCTTCAAGAGCCTAGACAAATATTCCATGACAAGAACAAACATCAAAGGAGAAATAGGGTCTTCCTGTCTGATGCCCCTCTTACCCTTAAAAAAATAATGCAAGCCACCATTAATAATAAGAGAAAAGGAAGGGGTAGAAATACATTCCATAATCCAGCCAATAAACTGCCCAGGGAAATTGAGAGCCTCTAACATGTCTTTAATGAAAGACTAGAGCATAGAGTCATAAGCTTTCCTGAGGTCTACCTTGATAGTACATCTAGGCGCATTCCTCTTGTTGTTGTAGTTTTTCAACATATCCTGGCACACCAAGATGTTATCTAGAATGGATCTGCCTTCAATAAACGCTCCCTGGTTCTCACTAATCAACTCAGGTAAAACCAGCTTCAGTCTTGAGTAAAGCAGCTTAGATATGAGTTTGTACAAGACATTACATCAAGCTATGGGTCTATACTGTGAGACATATATAGCTTCATCTACTTTTGGAACCATAGTCAATAGAGTGTTATTAACTTGTTTAAGAAGACAACCATGAGTTAAAAAAGACAAAACAACCTCACGTAGGTCCTGTTTCACAATGTCCCAAGAAGTTTTAAGAAACTTGAAAACCCATCTGGACCAAGAGCCTTGTCATCCTCTATGCTCCATAAGGCTGCTTTAACATTAGTCTCTGAGAAAGGGCAGCAGAGCATATCCTTCTGATCTTGATTCAACACCTTTCCTTCCTCAATGATAGTAGCATGCACCGATCTCTCAGGACTGTAACTATCTCCCAACAGATTTTGGTAGTAACCCACAAAAGCACCCACCACCTCATTAGGATCTTGCACCACTTGATCGTTCTGTGTAACACTACAAATCCTGTTCTGAATTCTCCTCTTTCTAATGTAAGCATGGAAAAAAGCTGTGTTCATGTCTCCATCTTTTAGCTAGTGTAACTTGGCCTTCTATTTCAAGAAAGTATACTTATCAGCATGAGCCTTCTAATACAAGATTTTAGCCTGTCTCTCTTCAGATATCAAGTTCTCATTACAAGGATTAAGGTTCAATTGTTTCTGCACACTCATCAACCTAGAGGAGGCTTCCAAATCAGCAGTTTCAACAGAAGACAAAGAGCACAAATTCTGAGCCTTAATAGCTTTCTTAACAGCCTGCAACTTCTTTACCACCCTGTACATTGCTGTGCCTGTAACCTGAATATTCCAATGTTGCTGAACAAGCATAAAAAAACCAGGAGCAGAAGTCCAATGATTGAAAATTTTGAACGGCTTAACAAACCTCTCATTTAGACCAAAAATGTTCATCACACAAGGATAGTAGTCCATAGTACGTTCAGGAAGAAAAACAGCAGTGGCCTTATCAAATTTACTCAACCAGTCATTGTTCACTAAAACTCTATCAATTTTTGAGCAAACTATATGTTGCCCTTCCTGTTTATTATTCCACGTATAGTATAGCCCACCTACCTTGAAATCAACCAGATCATTTTTACTCAAACATTCTCTAAAGTCTTTAACCTCATCAAAAGTGCAAGGGGACCTAATCCTATCCTCCCAATTAAGGATATTGTTGAAATCACCACTAATAAGCCAGGGATCTTTAGAGATCTTAGCTATCTCAGTCAGCTGATTCCACAGCTCTACTCTCCTCTTAGGATCATTCAAACCATAAACCATAGTGACAAGAAAATCACAACTAGAGGCTCTATGTTTGACAGCCATATGAATCAATTGCTCCTCCACCTTGATCACATATGAATAAAGCTGCTCTTGGTAAGTATGTGTGGCAAATTGCCAAGAAAAAAGGACTCATTATGGGTAAAATGGGTTCATGATGTTTATATCAAGGATCAAGATTGGTGGGATTATAATCCAAAGAAGGCTGATGGTTGGGCATGGAAAAAAATATGCAAAGTTAAGGAAGAGCTTAAGGTGGGATTCATAACTGAAAATTGGACTGATCAGAAATACTCTATTGCTACTGTGTACAATTGGTCTCAGGGTTCAGGTGAGAAGGTGAATTGGACTGATTGGGTTTAGAGCAGGTATAACATCCCTAAAACAACTTTCATCACTTGGTTAGCAGTTCTGAATAAGCTCAAGACCAGAGATATTTTGTTTAAGCATGGTATTTGTGATACAACTATGTGCTTACTGTGTGATGCTGATGTTGAAAGCCAACACCACCTTTTTTTTACTGTGCTTATAGTAGGAGATGCTTGAGATTTGTGAGTGGCTGGATAGGAGTTCATGAAATTCATTTTAATATTAACGACACTTGGAAAAACTGGAAGGATCAATTTAAAGATCCAATTATGAGGAAAATAGGATATGCCAGCCTTTCTGCTTTGGTGTACTACTTGTGGACTGCTAGAAACACGGCACTCTGGAATCATGATATTCCAATTCACAGCAAGCTCTGTCATGGAGTGGGTTTAGCAGTGGTGGAGCGTGCTCAACAACTTATTGATGGAACGTGGAAGAAAAGGCACTGTAAGTGGCTGAGATCTCTGAGAAATACCATTCCTATATAGGTTTTGCCCTGGTTCTTGCTCTGTCAGACCCTGAAGGGAGCTTCTGCCTGCTGATGTGTGTTGCTGAGTCCTGTATTCTGGATTGTTGTGGTGATGATGTAGACTGTATTCTGGGGTGTGCTGGTCTTCTATGTTCCTGTAGAGGCTAGCTACTCCTGGTTGTTGCTCAGTTGACTGCTATTATTGCTGTCAAGGATTCTGGACTTGCTGGTTCCTGCTTCTATTCTTAACTGGACATGCTGGTTTCTATTCCTGTTTCTGTTTCTGTGCTGGGGCCTTGAGTGTTGTTTTGATGTGTGTTGTTGATTATTTGAGAAGTTGGGTTGCTGTGTTTCTGTTGCAGGCTGTGTGCAGTGTTGGGGATGTGTTTTTTGCGTTCGGTGCAGCTGGGCTGTGTTCTGGGGTGTGGCTGTGTCTTGAGTTCTGTGGAGGCTGGCTGTGTTTGCTCTTGCTCAGCTGGATGATGTTGATGCTGTCAAGGCCTGAAGGGAGCTGCTTGTCTCATTGCTATTTTCTTGTTATTTTTGGTTTTTTAGCTTGTTTTTATTGTGGCCTTGGTGTTTTGTGTATTGTAGGTCGTGGTTTGTTTTAATGTTTGGTTGTCCGTAGTCTGTTCTGGTCCTCGTAATCAGTACCCTTCCTCGAAGGTGCTTGATTACTTGAGTCCAGTGTGTTTCCTTCCCTCTCGGTTTTCAGGTACCCTTCTTTGAAGGTGGCCTGATAACAGTTTGGGATAGATTAGGAGGTTGGTTGCCCGACGGGCTTGTGTAGTTTCGGCGTTTACAGTCTTGTTTTTTTTTTTTGTAAAGCTGTAACTTTTATTCTCTGGTAATAAAATTGCTTATTTACCAAAAAAAAAAAAAAATTCGACCTTTATCACTCTTAGAATAGTTTGCAGTCACTGACCACTCATTACCAAAGCTACTAAAAACAGCACCAAACTTCTTCTTTTTTACTTTAGTTTCCATTAGCCCAAATAAGCCCAAGTTGTGATGGTTAAAAAACAAAGAAACATCACATCTCTTATTATGCAAATTTAGGCCTCTCACATTCCAAAAACCCACACTATCCATGAGAAGAGCAGGAGCATTCCCCTTCCTCAATCAACCCATCCATTTCCATCCTTTCATCAATACTACTTAACTTGGCATTTCTAGTAGATTCCTGGTTTTGATCTCCTTGTGGAACAGTACTACTATCATCATTCTCCTCATTCTCCAATTAATCAAATCTATTCCCTGTAATCACATTAACTGCCACCTCCTCTTGTTGATCTTGCTGGTTCTTGGCGTTCTGAGAAGTATCCTGAGCACGTGGCTGAATTGGTCTCCATATTTTCCTTACTACTTCCCTATTTTGAGGCCCTCTCCTCCTGTTCTACTGTTTATTCCACTAAGAAGGGTAGGTCTCCTCACTATGTCCCACACCTGAGCATTTCTTGCACTGAACTGGCTTCCATTCATAAACCACCTTCCGGTTGACATTCTCTCTATTTTCATCTAGAAATTCAATTTCTGTAGGGAATTTTCCATCAATAGAAACTTCTATCATAAGACAAGCATAATCCAGCTTTTATTTGTTAGCTGTAACCTTATCAGATTTCACAAGCTTCCCTACCAGCTTTCCTATCTTCATCAGAGCACTTTGGCCCTAGAATTTAAAATTCAAACCAGGCAGCCTTATCCAGACAGGGACCTCAGTAACACCTTCCTTGTCTAAATTAATACCAGGTTCCCACCTTTTCAAGATGACATGCCTGCTACCAAACATCACTGGACCCCCATTCAGCACCTTCTCCATATTCTCTTTTGCTCGGAATCTGATCAGATAAACCCCATTCGTAAGGAGATTCACCTTATCAATCCCAAATCTTCCCCCAAATACGTCGCACAAAGCCATTCATCACAAAGTAAGGTACCCAAAGCATAACAAATGATAGTTGAGCTCCAATAATGAATCTCTGACTCAACATCTTCTGAAGTTAAATGCACTTTCTCTCCATTTTCCATTCTACTGCCATCATTAGCTTGATTAGAGCTCTTATCCCTAGTCAGATCAATTCCCTTATCTCTAGTATTTCTGAACAAAGCACTCCATCTCCTAGCTCCCTCAGATCCAACATTCTCAGAAGCCCTAACAACATGGGTTTCCAAAATTAGGGGGGTATTACGAGGGCTAGGGGTCATACCCATATTCAAACCAGCAACAGATATACGCGACGCAGAGATATTATCTCTAATCATCATAAAAGGAGTTGGGTTTATAGAGCCTGATTGAACATTTTCAAAGTTACGAGTTACTGTTCCATTGAACTCATCACCAGAAATAGGGGAGTTTTGATGAATTACCTGAAGCCACTGATTAAACTGAGTAGAGTGTCGCTCCTTATCTTCCTGAGAAACTCTCCTTGAAGGATCTTCCTGAGCATCCTCACCATCAAGCCAGCTGACCTCAGACCAGCTTCCTCTTCTCTGTTATGAGCATTTCTAACATTTAATCGGGTTCTAGGTTTAGGTCCATGTTTCTTCTTAGTCTTAGATGAGGAACCCTTCTTCCCTTTACTCTTCTTCCCCTTGGCCATAGCCCAATCACAGATTTCGAGGGAAAAACAATGGCGTGAAGAAGGATTTTCTCTCTCTAGGACTTTTCAACAAAGCTAATTGAATCAAACGAAAGTCAAACATATTCAAACAAAACTTTTTGAATCAAATCAAAGTAAAAAGCATTCAACAAAGCTAATAGAATAAAAAGAATTTGGAGATAGTTGTTCTGTGGTTGCTAATTACGCTAAGAGTGACAAAGTAGAATTTGGGTCATGTGGATCCCTGCTGTTTTCAAGGTTACTGTGCTCAAGGTTGAAGAACAACTTATTCATCTTTCTGTGAAACATAGAGCCTCGGGCATTGTCTTCCTGGTTACTATGGTTTATGGCTTGAATGACCCGAAGAAAAGGGAGGTCTTATGGGACCAGATTTCTGAGTTGGCTAGTGGTGCGAAGGATCCTTGGTTCATTGGTGGTGACTTCAACAACATTCTCAATTTAGCGGATAGAATAGGATCTCCTTGTACTTTTGATGAGGTGAAGAATTTCAGGAACTTCCTGAGTCAGAATGATCTTACTGATTTTAAAGCTGGTGGTCTCTTTTACACTTGGAACAATAAACAAGATGGGCATCATAGAGTTTGTTCGAAAATTGACAGGGTGCTTTTAAATAATGAATGGCTTAGGAAGTTTGACAAAGCTTCTGCTATTTTTCTCCCAGAAGGCACTATGGACCATAGCCCTTGCTGTATGACTTTGTTTGGCCTGAGTGATAAATCTGCAAAGCCGTTTAAATTTTTTAATCTTTGGACTGATGCTCCGGGATTCTTGACGCTAGTTGAGCAAGAGTGGTGCAGGCAGGTAAGGGGAACAACCATGTTTTGAGTGGTTAAAAAATTGCAGGCAGTGAAGAAGGCTTTGAAGGACAGGAACCTGAGCTCTCAGTCCTCCATTGAAATAGAAGATTTTGAGGCTGCTTGCAAGTTGATGGCTGTACAGAAAAAGTTGGATAAGGATCCTACTAATGAAGATCTCATTATTGAAGAAAAACAGGCAAGAATGGGTTATCAGGCTGCTCACAAAGCGAAGTTCTCTTTTCTCAAGCAGAAGGCTAAAATGCATTGGCTCAAGGACGGTGATTTGAATACTTCCTTTTTTCACGCGTTTATTCAGAAAAGGAGGGTTCATAACCAAATTTGTAGTGTCATTGAGGGGGATCAAATCATTCAAAATCCGGATGAAGTGGTTGGTGCTTTTATTGGGTACTATCAGGACCTCTTGGGTTCTAATACTCTGCCCGAGGGGACTATTCATAGCTCGGTTATTGAGATAAGGAGGGTTCTCACTCATGATCAGGGCCATAAGCTTTGCCTTCCTTTCTCTGAGTTGAATGTGAAGACTGCTCCTTGGAGTATTGCTAATGATAAGGCGCCTGGTCCAGATGGTTTTTCCAGTAAGTTTTTTAAAACCTCCTGGGAAATTGTGAAATCTGAATTATGTGAGTCTGTGTTATCTTTTTTTTATCATGGTTGTCTGTTTAAACAAGTGAACAATACCCTGTTAACCATGGTGCCTAAGGGTGCTGATGCTACTCACGTTAGCCAATATAGACCCATTGCCTGCTGTAATGTCGTGTATAAGCTTAT